CTGCTGTGCGCGGCCGCACTAGGGGTGAGAGACCATTGCCTTATTCCGTCCATCTTCTCGTTAGACCAGCCCCCTACAGCCGAGAAGGTCAGATTATTGGGTAATCGGCTCCGGGCAGGGCCCCCAAAGAAGACCCTACGGCCCAGTCTTGTGGGTCAGACTTTTGGGTATAAGGCTCTAAGTGAGGCATTCTATCCAACCCCTTCCTCCACCAGGGCAACCGGAAAGTATCGTTTGCCCGCACAGTTCTTTACCCACCCGTTCCCACCACATAAGTAAATGTTGCTGGGTCATTTGATTGTCAGTTATCTGACCGTTGTGCGTTATGCACTCCATGGCTTATCCACAATAAGAAACAACACCTTGCTATATCTACGAGATCCTTTCTACACAAGAGCTTTAAACGTCAGGACTCTATCTCATATTGGCAATGCTCGCCAACACCTTAAACTCCCATGAAACAGATGTATGCTGTGTCTCTGAAACACTCATACAATATCCAAGTGTGATCATGCACCCAAAACACCAAGGAGAAACCCAACTCCTTCACACTTCACTCTCCACGGGTCCGGTGGTCCAGAAGCGATGACTCATGAAATATATGGCGTGGGAGCTCCACTCGTCCTCAGATATTGGTGCATCTTGCTGGATGCCAGTACACAATCGTCTTCACGCAGTCCCCTTATCCAGTTAAATCAACCACAGTACCCCTCGACATGAATCGCCAAACGTCCCAACAGACTGCAGTTGTGACGCTAAAGATACTTCCTACCGAGATTTATCCGGGTGCGTTCGTCCATTGAGAAGCACCACCGACACCGTGATCATTGCGGACGATACGAATGCGCAAGTCGGTTGTCGGAGCACCTTGGAAAGAAATCCGAGCAGTTGATTTGGAGGGGATGCTCCTCGCACAGACGATAAGCGACATCTCCGATTCTGTGCTGATCGTCAACTATTTACAGCCAACGAAAATTAAAAAAATAATAACCGTTCAGCTGTAGCGCCCTTTCGGTGCCTAGCTGCTATGCCACCCGAAGGAAGCACGAGGGCTGGGATACTGTCAGGTTGCCCAAGCCTAGACAGGGGAAGTCGAGAGGCAGAGGTGGGGTTCGAACCACGGATCTTCGGGTCAGTAAATTCGCGCTCTAACCACTTGAGTTATCTCCCCCCACAGCCAACGAAAGCCTTCAGCGTAAACACTTGGACCGTCTTAACCGGCTGTTACTACGTGGACAGTTAATCGAAATGGATAACGTGACCATCGGCCACCGATGGAGAGCAACAATTTAAGACTATTGTTTCTTACTTACAACTTGCTTCCGATCATGTTTGACTATTCGCTTCCCATCAGTCCTTGCAAGTCAGCAAGAAGCATGCATTAAGAAGCGGTATGGAGAACTACCATAGCTCAACAGTACTAGTAAGCGCTAACTCCACCACTCTCCACATTAAGCCAACACCGTACTGGTAACGAGGATGAGGATGAAGCATGCCACAATTTGAAAGGAGTTATGCTAGCGGCACTCAGTGCCATGTCCGACTTTTACGATAAGATCAAATGACCGCTGGATATCGTCGAGATCGCTAGCACTGATTGATGCCAGGAAATCCATACCAGCGGTCAACGAGAACGACAGCGCACGCAGATCCCTCAAACGCCAAACAGTGAAAAGCCTCAGGAAAGACCGAAAGCTTTGGTGGACATTGAAAGCTCAGGAGATGGAGAAAGCCCTCGAAGAACAGTTTCTGACCTCCTGCAGCACATTCAGTGGAGATAGTGCATACAAGTGAATGGAATGTAAACCTTGATCGCCCATCGGAAGAAGTAAAGTAAGAAATATCCGTACTAAAACATGAAAAGACACCAGGACCGAACGGTTTGTATTCAGCCCACTTTAAAAAAGGCGGAGAGTCCCAGATGACCAATCCAACAAAACAAATTGGCGCGATATGGAGTGAAAAGAAAGTGCCTGTAGAATGGGGTGTGTCGACAGTTACCTCTATCTTCAAAAAAAGCATGCAGACGTTATGTGAAAACCACTGTGGCTTCAGCCTGGTGGGTATGGCATCGAACGTGCTCCCTGTTCTTATCCCTCGAAGGTTGACCAAACACACAGAGAGGCAGATCCGTGGAAACCAAGCTGGATCCCGTCTTGCAAGAGGATGAATCACTCACATTTTCACCCTCCGACGCATCCTGGAACAGCAACCAACAATGGTGGTCTTCTTTGATTGGAAAGGTGACTTTGTGTGAATCTGTGGGCTATCAGGCACTATGACAATGTTTACGGAAAAAAGGTGCCCCTCCCCCGCAAATTACTGACCCTCCTTGGGGCACCCTACACCAACCCTACAGACGCGTGAAGGTCTGCGGAAAGCCATCACCTGAGTTCCCTACATTAAGCGGTGTTGGGTAAAGCTGTCCTGCTTCAACTTTCCTCTTCAGTTACGTCACTGATACAGTTGATGAACACCCAGTCCTCTAATGCCTGTGGGGCCGAAATCATCTCAGGGCATTCACTCACAGCTATCGAATACGCCAACGACGAAGTCCTTGGATCTGACGCCGTGTTACTGTAAACAACACTAAATAACCTAAGTCATTCTGTCTCACAATTTGGCGTGCGCTTCACACCGACAGTATAAAGTGCCACTGCATGACTGGGTGGACTCAGAACCTAAACTCATGCTTACAGATGAGCGATTGAGGTAGTGGACAAATTTCTTCACCTGGGCAGCTGCATCAGTCCCGTTGGTCTCGCGAAAGATTATACTTACATCCGGATTGAGAAGGCCGGAGCAGCTTTTGTGAACCTGTGTCACATGTGGCGTAGGCGTCACATAAGCTCAACCGCCAATGATTGAGTTTACAATGCTGCGGTGCACTCCATATTACCATACCGAACAGAAACCTGGCTGCCGCGCACCGAGGACGTCAAAAGACTTTCAGTGTTTGACCATCGATGTCTTTAAAGCATTGCCCGATTCCAGTGGGAACACCTGATCAGCAATGCTGAAGTACGTCGAATGGTATTCGGAAGAAATAACTCACCCTCCATCGATGAACTGATCACACTGTATCCGTTGCGCTGGCTTGAACACGTGCTGCGTATGACAGTCGACCGACTTTCTCGAAGGGCTCTTTTCGCACAACCATGTGAAGGGTGGAAGAGAGCCAGAGTCGGTCAAATAATGACTTGGCAGCGAACTCAGGTGAACTGGTCATTACCGTCTTTCTGGATGGGGACCCCGAGACGGGCCACATCAATAGTTTGAGACATTGTCAGACATGACCCGGTCACGGCCTTAATGGCGCTCGTGAATCCAAACTATTACCTTCAACCCATAGCTCACAACCCCCCACTTAATAGTCAACTGATAGTTCTGCATTTACGCACCAATTTATCAGCTCCCACCTTCAACGCGCAGCTACCTGCCCCAACTCCCCAAATCATTGGCGAACGAAATTGTGGCAGCTACAACCACTGTACAGGTACGCGGTTGTTACAGCTGGTAATGATGAAACTCTCTTCAACGAGATCGTCTCGTAGACAATATCAAATAAATTGTGCAGAGGCGACAACCAGCAGATACCCAATCAAGTAGAGACGTTTTCGATCGAAATAATATTCATCCTGGGATATCTAGATTCACCGACTTCAACATCACCAGATGAGCGCAGTTGGAAGAAGCAAGAGAGCGAGGGGGCAGTCAGTTTAATTACAGTAGATGCGGCTTGAGTTCTTGATTCTGATGGCATACATCAAAGCACAAGTAATCCGGCATAATCGCAAGACCAGCTGGTTGTCTTGCTTACTTCGGAGTTAAAAAGCAGATAAGCGTACGCTGTTTGTAAAACCGTTCAGGCGCAGCACCCTTTCGGCGTCTGGCTGCCAGGCCACCCGAAGGAAGCACGAGAGCTGGGATACTGCCAGGCTGCCCAAGCCTAGACAGAGGAAGTCGAGAAATAGACGTCGGGTTCGAATCGCGGACCTTCTGTTCAGTAAATTCGCACTCTAACTCCCGAACCATCTCGACTCAGGTGTTTGGGAAGAGATATCGAGTTGTTTGGGACTATTATAGAAGGTTGAGACGCGGAATTTCTAGCTAAGTGTTGCAGAGCGAATAAAGCTTCGAGTCCTAGTGAAGAGATCTGCAGAAACAGCATTCACAATACGGCGGGGTAGATGAGAAGAAATACGTAAAAGTGGTAGGCGTCAGCAGTAGCATATTTTCACTTGCCTGCTTTGCAGTATGTGGCAATTATGGCAACCGGGCTAATTGCTAATGCGACGACCAAAGTGGTGTCAGGTTGTGATGTTCATGTTTTACGTGGGCTGGGATAGTTCACGCCACCGTCAGGGCGCGTATACCCGGACAGGAGGGTAACTAGGGTCCTCAGCCAGTTTTTGGTTCGGAAGACTGATCGCGAGGCACCGGGCGGGTGCCAGTATATGGCTATGGTAGTACATGTTTTTACGGACTAGGTCACCGTACATGTTCCAACTTCCAACCTAGTGGACTGAGGGGGACTGTATTTGTCATACCACCCAACGACCAACCCGGTATGGGAAACTACCAATATAAATGCCCAATTTAGTATGGTTGGGCATATTGACGCTAAAACCACCGTACCACGATAAAATCAAGTCGCTGTGGCACTATTCATCATGCAACAGAGCTAAGTTGCATGTTCTAGTCCTAGTTGCTAGTTCTAATCCAATTAAGCTAAACGTCATACCAAAAGTCTTTAGAAGTAATGGGGTTCAGAAGCATAGTTTAAAGAGATTCCAACCAATGAAACCCACCAATAAGTTTGACTTAACAAACCAGGTTGCATATTTCATGCAACTGAATAAAGGTATACTTACCACCCTTAGAACCTCATGAGAACCGAACCTAAGGTGTAGTGATTGTCCGGCGATTGTTTAGCCGAGGTTAAACACATGTATTAAACGGTGCAACAAAGAAGAGTTTTTGAAATCGGCTGGACTCACCTTGGACACATAAGATAATAGCGTTTGGATTGCCCATGTAATGCCGGGCCATTTTTTGGATGGTCTCACGTGTATCGGCTTGCATACCAGTCGTTACGGTGGAAATAATTCCCGGCAAGTCTACCAGAACGATGCGTTGTAGACCAGGGCCCTTAACATTCAAAGAAATCACCTCAGAACTGATTGTCTTCCCCCCACTGACCAGGGCTTTCATACGCATCTGAAAAAGACAGGAACGTCACACAACTATAAAGGAACATAGTCCATGCACTCTAAAATAATAAAAAAACAAACAGAGCCACTCAAAGAAAATTACTGAGGCACTGCACCAAGCTTAGTAATTGGTGTACATATACCAAGTTTTGTTTTTGAAGATAACTTTTTGATGTAGCCTTCAATGTATGAATTATACAATAGTGCGATGAAGTACTGCCCTGCAAGTGCTTTACGGAGAAAAACGAGGCGTCAGTATGACATAGTGCGCACCACTAGTCGATGTGAAGGCAAGTGAAATAAATACAAACCTCAATATCTCTCCGGAGGGCAGCTAATTCGGATTCCTTGGTCAAATCATACTCACGTGGGCTGTCCTTGAACGACGCCACGTGATATGGTCCTTCAGAGAGAGTCACCTTCACAGGCGATCGCGTCATCATTTCACCAGATCCGCGTGGGAAAATCCGTGCCTGCGCAATCATCTCCAGAACAGAGGTTTTCCCAGCACTTTGGTCCCCAACGACCACAACACGAGGAAGTTGATCCTAGCGATTGATAAGACAATTAATCGCACGTTACACAGCAAAACAGACGGTAAAAACAGCAAAAACTACGTGAGACAATACAAGACACAAGCCCGGTGAGAATAAATCGACAGCTGACTATCAGATTTCATTCTTCTGAAGCTACTCGGGTGAGTTTGGTCGTACTTGACGTCCTTTTGTGTGAACTTTCAGTGGGATCGGAGAATTCACGAACTATGGACTAGGAGACGGCCTTTTAGATAGCGATGGATGTCATTTGATGAACTCCTTACATCGGAGTAACCTGTCCGTCATATACACTAGACCAGAAAGACCATTTCACTATATCGCAGGAACTTCACTACTGTAATCTTACAAGCGGTGCTAATCATAAACGAATAGAAGTCTCATATCAAGTTAAGCTCTAGACGGAAACCGTCCAGTAATGCATTTCCCCCAAAAAATTAGAGCATAGAACTAGATACATATACTAATTGACAGTACTTTTTTCCAATCTTCAAACCAACCACTGAGTCACACCGTACAAGACCATTTCCAGAGTGGAAGTCGATCTATTTCAACCCTCCCGACCAATATTCTTTGAACACGATTAAACCATGGTAGGTCACTACGCAACCTCTACTTCCATCCGAGACCGTTCCCTAGGAAAGGATTTACTTTTACATAAAGAATACCGCCGAAAAGTGCCAATTTCGGCGTTCCAAGAGTATGACCGTTAAATGGATTTACAAGGAATGGTGTTCGCTATTAGGAGGAAACGGCCTAAATTCAGGATGCACAGTTTTTATTCACTAGCTGCTACACAACATAGCAAATCATCGCCTAATGGATTAACAGGCGAGGTCTGTCGACACTAGTAGTGGGCCCTTTGTGCGGCTTTCGAAGGACATTGATGTGAATTGACAAAGTTGAAAGGTACTCGGTGGACCTTAGATTACGAAGCCCGAGCATGTAAGAGACATAATTGGGGTGTTTTTATTAGATTCAACTACTCGAATTTCTTTCACATTCACAGTACTGAGTGAACTAATGCTGTACCGCATTTGACTTTTTGGCATTTTCAATGAGAAACGCTAATCCTAAGTATTGCAGTAGGGTCACATGGTTGAATTTTTAGTCAAAGTCCACCTAGTAAAAGAGATGAAATCCAAACTATAAGTCTACTTCGTTTAGGGTTCACCGTACCTCGTAATTTCACGTTACTATGCAACAGGGAAAGACAAAAAGCTCAAAAAAGCTAAACGTATTTGTCCGTTAGATGTTAGGGAGGCCACATGGACCGTTCGTTTGTCACGGAAGGGGTGCGAGATAAAATGCAAGTGGCAGGAAGCTGAGTGTGCAAGTGAGACGGTATCGTGCCGAGGCCACAGATGACAAATTTGAGTAAAACAGAAAGACGCTACTCATACGGTTGCTGAAAACTCTTCGATCGGTCACGATCGGTTTCTCTGCTGAGAGTCATCAGGTAGGAAGAACATCATAAACGGTAGATTCAGCTACATTCAGTTGAGTTTCCGGTCAAAACCAAATTAGTGTGTAAACGACAGTATTAGGTAAAATGCTCCCAAATTCAGTTCAAATAGAATAAAAGGTTAACGGGAACTCGCGAGACGTGTCCCAAGAAGGACAAAGTCGTGGGCTCTTGCAGAGTTTTAGTAATTTTATTGGCAGTTCGTTATGTCTAGACCGTCCGCTGCAACAACTCGAGTATCAAACCAACTGGGAAATGAGGTCTTGCGCAGCACATTCAGTTAAAGGACTTTAAACGAGAGATTCAGGTAGATTTATTTGAGGTCCCCGTCAAAGCACAAATGAAAAATGAGAACCGCAAAAATTCGCCAGATAGCAAACTACACTGACATCATTGTTTCCGCACATATTCTGAACAATGGGTGTGAACTAACGAGTAAGAGTCGTTTCAGTGACAGTGGAGTTTTTTCGGGAGCTCGGGAGGGGAAGCTATTCATTGAAGACAACAGCCTTGGGGCAGGAACACCATGAAGCACGTGGCTGGACCTTGTCCGACAACGCCTCTAATCATTTATGTGTCCCGTCTCTGGGACTCGATCCGGGGAGGCGATAATGACTAGCGCAGCTGAGTTTTCTGGCAATGGCCTTCACACTTCATTACCAGGTCAGTGTTCGACCTCCCATGGCTCGTCTCCTTTCTTCGCGTGGTTATGGGAAAATGGCTCTTGGAGGAAGTCGATCTAACGGCGTATAGGAGCACGTGACCAAGCGAGCGCAACCTGTGGAATGTGGCCAGCTCTTTTCTCATGAGCGAGTTGTTTTTTTTTCGAAGTCCACTCGACGTACTTCAGCATTGCCGATCCGATGTTCTTACTAATCTCGGACAATGCTCTGAACACATCAATGGTCACACACTGAAAGTCCCCAGTGTGTATCAACTAGGTTTCTGACACCTATGACAATATGAAGCACCGCAAGATTGTAAACTCGATCCCTGATAAATAAGCCGATGTCACGTCTGAGCCATAGGTGATACAGGTTCACAAAAGCTGCTCAGACCTTCTACACCTGGATGGAGATATCATCGTTAGCTAGACCACCGGAACTGATACAGCCATCCAGGTATACCCTCACTCGCCTGATATGCAAGCAGGAGGTTAGGGTTCCGCCTCACCCAGTTTTGTGTAAGCACTTTACACTTTGCAGGTGCAAAGCGCACGCCAAATTGTAACAAATAATTACTTAGACTATTTAATATTGTTTGCATTAACACAGCGTCAGACTCAAGAACTACATCGTTGGCGTATTCCACAGCTGTCAGTGAATGCCCTGGGATCATTTCGGCCCCACACCGACACCGTCCAGCTGTAGCATACTTTCGGTGCCTAGCTGCCATGCCATCCGAGGGGAGCACGAGGGCCGGGATACTGTCAGGTTGCCCAAGCCTAGACAGGGGAAGTTGAGAGGCAGAGGTCAGGTTCGAACCACGGACCTTCCGGTCAGTAAATCCGCGCTCTAACCACTTGGGCCATCTCGCCCCCACACGCATTAGAGGTTTGGACTGGGTGTTTCATAATTGTACGACTGACGAAGTTGAAGAGAAAGGCTGAAAAAACACTTTTGTCTGACACTGCTTAATGTAGGGAACTCCGGTGAGCTTTCCGCAGACGGGTCTGCGAAGGAGCGCGACTCCGATACTGCCAGGTCGCCCAAGCCTAGACGGGAGCAGTCGACATGTGGGAATTGGGTTCTAACCATTGAACGTCGGATCAGCAAGTTCGCACTTAAACACCAAACTGTCTGGAGCTCAGTGCATAACCCAGCACTCCCTCCACTGGATTGGCGCGTCTCTAATATCCCCCGCCGCTTCCACTTGACGCCCCCAAATTGAGTGAGCGAAGCTGTGGCACCTATAACCAGAATACAACAAGTGAACGGTGCATTCAGCTGAAGATGACCATGATATGATTCACTAAACCACACTGTCTGCCCGGTAGGATTGATTTCGTTGCGTTCATTAGGAACAGGGTCACAGTAAGGCTCCACTTGAATTGGACTGCGAATTTTCGCTAGGACGGTCAGTAAGTTGGCATATTAATCACCAAACCTACGGAGTGTTATTAATTGGGGTGCGCAATCTTACTGGATGTAATAAGCATTGAACAGTGCTTCAACATGACTGGAGCCACCACACGGCAATGGACTTCTCATGAGTGAAACACTGTTAAGCCGCGAAAGCACACTATGCGGATGATTACAACTATTTGGACGAAACCAAGATTAAAAACATGCAGTGTAAGATCGAGGCAACTTTACATACCAAATAGATGAGAGACTCACCTGAGCATTATAGCCAGAATCCAAGTCCGAAAGTTCGTCCAAAACTTCAGAGTACATATCAATCAAAGACCTCTAAAAATAGGCGGAAAGATGTGAACACGCACCTTTATTCGGCCTCGTTGTGATGGTCGGTGAGCCCGCAAAAGCAATTCACTTCTCAATTCTCGATTCTCCTGTAACAACTGTTCTACACGCATTAGAGGTTTGGACTGGGTGTTTCATAATTGTACGACTGACGAAGTTGAAGAGAAAGGCTGAAAAAACACTTTTGTCTGACACTGCTTAATGTAGGGAACTCCGGTGAGCTTTCCGCAGACGGGTCTGCGAAGGAGCGCGACTCCGATACTGCCAGGTCGCCCAAGCCTAGACGGGAGCAGTCGACATGTGGGAATTGGGTTCTAACCATTGAACGTCGGATCAGCAAGTTCGCACTTAAACACCAAACTGTCTGGAGCTCAGTGCATAACCCAGCACTCCCTCCACTGGATTGGCGCGTCTCTAATATCACCCGCCGCTTCCACTTGACGCCCCCAAATTGAGTGAGCGAAGCTGTGGCACCTATAACCAGAATACAACAAGTGAACGGTGCATTCAGCTGAAGATGACCATGATATGATTCACTAAACCACACTGTCTGCCCGGTAGGATTGATTTCGTTGCGTTCATTAGGAACAGGGTCACAGTAAGGCTCCACTTGAATTGGACTGCGAATTTTCGCTAGGACGGTCAGTAAGTTGGCATATTAATCACCAAACCTACGGAGTGTTATTAATTGGGGTGCGCAATCTTACTGGATGTAATAAGCATTGAACAGTGCTTCAACATGACTGGAGCCACCACACGGCAATGGACTTCTCATGAGTGAAGCACTGTTAAGCCGCGAAAGCACACTATGCGGATGATTACAACTATTTGGACGAAACCAAGATTAAAAACATGCAGTGTAAGATCAAGGCAACTTTACATACCAAATAGATGAGAGACTCACCTGAGCATTATAGCCAGAATCCAAGTCCGAAAGTTCGTCCAAAACTTCAGAGTACATATCAATCAAAGACCTCTAAAAATAGGCGGAAAGATGTGAACACGCACCTTTATTCGGCCTCGTTGTGATGGTCGGTGAGCCCGCAAAAGCAATTCACTTCTCAATTCTCGATTCTCCTGTAACAACTGTTCTACACGTTTATTAAACTCCAGCTGAATTGAGTTAGCGAAAACGAAAGGGGGTCAAACCTCTCGCTTGAAGAGCGCCTCTTGTAATTCCTCCACAGTGACAAGCTTAATGCCATCCTGGGAAAAACATGATAAGGAAAAAAAGCAGGAACCTTTTTACGTTTGCCGCCCTTCTGTTCTCCATCTACATCTGGAAGCTCAGATGCAGACACGAGACTAGAGTGGTCGTCAGTAACCGGCTTTTCAGACTGAACTAGGGCGGAAAACTTTGTCTTCCACCGTTCAAAGTAATTCTGAGAAGCTTTAGTGCGCGATAAGATTGCGTACCTTACGCAGTTCACTCAAGCGTTCCGTGGAATGCTTTACGTTTGAAACTGCGCTTTCAAAATCTTCCCGCGAAGGGAAATGGTCAGAAATGAAAGATAAATCGGGTAGCGACGTTTTGATTTCATCATATTTCTGGGGAATTTTTTCACAAACTGATAACTCCTACTTGCGTAACCGTGTAGGTTCCACCTACGCCTGCACCGAGGACAATATACCTTAGCCGCAGGAAGCGTGAGGCTAGCCGGGACACGATGCCAACAATATTCCTCCTTTGGAAAGCTAGACAAATCGCAGGTTTCCTCGGCAATCGATTCCGGCCGCGAATACCAGAAAAGCCTAGCATACGAACAACGATGTCCGTGCAAGCAGACAAGCGTACCCACTACCCAAGGTCATTCTTTCCGCCGCTCACCGAACCACAAGTCACTGATTGGTACACAGGATCGAGAGTTCCGCCCAAGTTTCCAGGGTCGGGTTTTGTTCTTGTTGTTCAGCGGCTGACGTTCAACTGGAGCAAACCAGCGAAGAAAGGTTGTACAACCATTCGTTAAGTTCTCAGCGCAAGGCAGTAAGTTTCCAACGCGAGGACTCTATTAAAAAGCGTAAAAATGCTTTGAACTGATTACTAAATGCAGCGTGAACGACCGTCGGAGGAAGGTCATTCCACATTCCAACTATTTGAAATGAGAAAATTTTTCCAAATAAAATTGCATGGTTTCAGCTTGAAAATCTTACCGTATCGCCACAATGTGTTGGTGGGGCTAACGGTGAAAAAACTGCTGACCAAACCTTCATACAGAGCATAAGTGACGCGAGATGAGCTTCGCTGTTCACGGATTCAAGGCCAGTAACAATTTTCGTAGAAGCCCGTTGGAAACGCTCAGTGGAGGCTGCATCTTTTTTGTGTCCCCAGAGAAAAATTGGTTTCTATATTCAAGAAATGGTCTGACATATGCCCCATGAAAGCGATACTTGAGAAGGTGCGCAGAATCACCTCTAGAACGGCGATTACCCTTAAGCCGATTACTAATGTGGCAGTGAAAAGGATATGTGAGGAGCCAGATAATCAAGTTCGTTTTATTATTTAACCAAGGCAGCATGGCCGCACAATACACCTAGCTGCGAAAAATTTGCAAATGAAAAAAGTTTTACACCAAAATGTCACATTTTGTTGCGTTCGTAGTGTCTGTAATCCGTTGTCACATTTACCACTCTTCCTGAACTTGAACTAGACTTTGTAACTGTCGTTCACATTGTATCATGAAATTTGTTTTAATGTTACGAACACACAATTTTCCGGTGCGACCCGCTGACTTCTTGCTGAACGGGTTTATTTACGCTCCGTTGAACTGTTTGTTGACTGCTGAACCAGTGGGACTAAATCTCTGTGTTTGTGTCAACTGTTGAACGTCACAATAAATCCCTGTGACATTTTTTAGCCGTGAATAATTTTCCTACCGTGGAATATATCACGCACGCGGAACCATCTGTGGGAAATTCCGACAAGTGAATATTTCCTTTCACAGCCAGTTACTGCATTTGGATCGGTGTGGTGGACTATTGGATCTACACATTCGTGAGTCCCCAGTTGACTACTCATTCCTTTCCTATTGTGATTTTGTGATTTTGTATAGGTTACTTTGCTTCTTAATTTATCCGAACACGCTGATAAGGTCTTAGTCCGCTACGCGTTCATTTTTAAAACAAATATAATTTTGATCTGCCTTTGATAATTTTGCAGATCACTCAATTTAATTGTTTTCACCTGGCAGGAAATTCTGGTGAGATATTTTCCTTGCATCACAGGGGCCGCGGGTTTCTCATAAGGACTCACACGTTTGGATTGTATTCGTGACTGAATTTCCTGTCTGCTTTTGTCCGCCAGAGACACGTCGGAGCTTTGAGAATTTCAACTCCATTGTGTGAATGCTGGGCGACTTCCGAACGAAAATAGGCTCGACTTTCGACTTTCCGGCGCTGTTTCTGATCTGCGCCAAAGATCTTCCAGACGATTTACCCTTCGGAAGGACTTGAAATCCCATAGTTCAAAATTCACTACCCTCAAAATAAACGTAAACGCTGGAAAGCAGTGATCGTTCCTTTTAATGACCAAAAGTGCGTCCATGTAATTCGGGGAATGTAATTCTGCGAACTCTGTCGTGGTGCGTGATGCGATGAATTAGAAGACATTACAAGGATAGATATGGCTCCCAGTTCTACCTGATAGAAACTCCCCAATCCAGCATAGAATTCCCTCCTGAATACCATAAGGGGCAAGTTTATTGAACAGCGGACTTGTAGGCCTCGATCAAACAATTTTAAGTCGAAAAATATGACATCCTTAATAAGTCTTTCGTTCTTAGCGCGGGTTGAGCTGTCCATAAAAACGAGCACGATGGTTGCGCAAGAACAGCTTGGGGGGAACATGTGCTGCCCTCGTGATAGTGAGTTAATTCAAGCTGGCCTGGTTCAGAGTGCTTTCCATAGCCTTGCACGGTATGCTAGTTATGCTTATACGCCTGAAGTTTCCGGGCTCGATTTGTGGCAGCCCACTTTACGTTAACTGAGTGTAAATTTGCCGAAAATTGGATTATCGAACTTGCAAATTTCACGCAGCCTAATGTAATGCGGTTGCAAGTGATATTTTTCTTATATCACTTTGTTTAAATGAGAGAGTGTGAACTTCTATGCCTGATCACTATTCTCATCAAGTCAACCTAGCAAGCGGATAATGTAGAGATTCAGATATCCGTGTGTGAATAACCGACAAAAACGTATCTTCCCCACTGGGAATAATGACACCATCTTACTTGAATGCGCCATTAATTGTAAAGAAATAGTCTGAAAATAAGGCCGGTCAATACATATAACCCGATGAAGGCCGGGTTACACCAGTCAATTATTTATTTAGCGTGGTCCCTCAATTCGCTGCACTCCTGAGGACTTCCGGACTTTTCTTCCGCATTAGAATTCGCTGACAGCTGATTTTCCAATTCTCGGTCCTTGAAAGTGATTGTCAGTTATACTGCACACCTACAACTTCACTCCTATTTTGCTTCCTGATACCCTTACCCTTTAGCTCAAATAGAACCTCTGAGCTACCTTCCTCACGAAAGGTTGCGACCAATTCGCACTCAACCAATGTACAACCCTCATAAACTGACGATATCCCTTTTGACAGCAAAATGGTATCATCCAGTAAAGCGTAAAACTAGAACCCCCGAGAAGACGAAAAAGCGGATGGCTTTCTATGCAATATTTTTATTGTAGGATATTAATGTACCTAACATGTAAGCCTAGACAGTAGACGTTTGTCCACAACGTGCGGTTTATTTTGACCGTAAAAGTACTAATGGAATGAGCAAACAGGCTCTCACGTGAGACGGTCACACGTGCATAAGGTTGGCCACAAAATGGCTTGATGACCTCAGAGTCAAATGGGTGACGTGAAGGAGACAGGCAAACGCCAGTTGATGCACACCCAACAAAAACAAAAATAGAGCGGGTTTTATAAATAGAAACCGAAGAAACTTGGAGAATTTTAATTGTCAAAGTAATGGACAACACATTCTCCCTGAGAACCAAGTCGTTGCCTCTGTGCGTTAGTAAACAGATTTCTTCCTCATCGTGTTAGAGTTTTCTTTAAAATGAAAGGGAATGCCTACTCAGTTTGTTAGCATCTGACACGTAACGAACTGCTAACTGGTTAACCCGTATACCTTTCCCAATACGCCGAATACGTTCGGCCTTCATCTACGTAGTCCTTCATGTCGGCGCGCTGCCACCGAACTACGATTTCACAATCATGAATTTTCCGCTCACATAAGTGGCTAAGACTGAATGGGACCCCCACAGTATGGTCAAAGCACTCAGGTTTTCTCCTAGTTAATGGCCTAAAAATTCCCCAAACTACACCGGAGTATCACTTGACACCATCGCCCCAGTTCCCCCCAAAAGCGGTTGTTGTACTCTTACCCACATCACCTATCTGCCTAATATGTCCGAAGAAATGCCTCCAGGTTCAGAAAGACCTGGAAAACCTCGCATTAAACTGCGAAGGCAGCTTACCAAGAGGCCACTACCTACTAATCACCGGAAGCCACCAGGTCATCAATCGGGGCAAACTAACGCACCCGGCATGACTCATTCACAGATTCCAAATACACTCCACTCGTGGAAAACCACGTAAGTCCGTTTACCATCGATGCACTTGAGCGTAGTACACGGAGGACTTCCGCATCACGCTACGGTGCTTATAGGTTCAGAAGACCTGGAAAACCTCGCATTAAACTGCGAAGGCAGCTTACCAAGAGGCCACTACCTACTAATCACCGGAAGCCACCAGGTCATCAATCGGGGCAAACTAACGCACCCGGCATGACTCATTCACAGATTCCAAATACACTCCACTCGTGGAAAACCACGTAAGTCCGTTTACCATCGATGCACTTGAGCGTAGTACACGGAGGACTTCCGCATCACGCTACGGTGCTTATCAAGTTATCCGGCCTCTTATGCAGTGTCTCCCAACTCTGTTATGCTCTCAACCATCTCGGATAAAGCCGAGGATGTTGTAGTATCCAACCCCACTTTATATCCTGACTATGGGCTAGAACTTGTGGCACATATAGGAACCTGTAAACCCTAAATCTTATAAATTGTCGACCACGCCGGTCCTCTAAATAACTCAAAATCCCATATGGTCAACAAAGCGACCAACCATACAAGCTTGCACACTACTGGCGCATCTGTGAATGAAACTTCCGGACGTCCCATCACAAACCATTGGCTATGATGCGATATTATAAATCCGCTCCCATACACAATGTCGTACCTAAACCTGTTGCACTATCAACCTTCAGTACTCGCGTGAACGTTCCCTCATACTCTCACTTCTCTGTAATTGCCTCTAGAGCTAGGCCCTGTTCCGTTGCCTCTAGTTTAATGGACTTTCAAGAACATGAGCCTTTCACCGCTCCTGCAAATAGACTTCTTGCTTACCACCCGTGACAAGTTCAAATGTCCGAATCCATGTCCCCTACTGAAGATACTTCTTACCCCGCAATGAGCCTCATGCTCGGCCTTCTTCCGTGGGTTCGGGCCTACATTACCCACTGTTCAACCCTCTACCCTCAGCCGACCCTGAACACTCTCCCAGGCAACCCTGCTTCGTGAACCCACAACTCCCACACCCAATTCCCCGAAGTATTGAACTCCACTACAAGCGCGATCAGTAAATTCATAATTAGTACGGTTCGCTCGCCAATCTGACTATCAAGAGTGCTTTTCAGTGCCCGCTCCTCACGGCCAAAAATCCGTAATCTCTGAGAGATATCGTGAATGCATGACCACCTCTGATTTTCGACTAAAACAACATTAAACATGCATTTTTAATCCCTGGCCATAAGATCCAACGCTGTGATAAAAACTCATTGGGGGAGGGGCCTGGTAATCGTGCAACCTTCGTTGAAGATCCTGCTTAGAAAGGGATTTCAAAAACCATCCGGATCTCTACAGAACATACAATTTTAGTAAACCAGTGGGTTGTATCTATCGACCACCAGCCTCCTACTTTGCTTCTATTTCTGATTTTTCCCATGTTATCTCCCCCGTGTATGCCCCTCTCTCATCCGTCTAAATTTGTGCCGGGTGAATTCAACGTGCCAGGTAACTCCCGGTCGTCCGCTACGAACCTCATCCAGTATGCCTCGCTGCCTGCCCAACTAAGTGTAGTCGGCTGTTCCCAGAGTTTACTTAAATTCACTCATGGTATACATTCCTCAGACCCAATACTCACAAATAAA